GGTGGCCGCAGCTGGCGCCGTTCGAGAGCGTTCCCCCTGAAGGCTCGCCAGGCTTCGCATAGCCATAGTCTGCGCTTTCCCACCGTTTTTAGGGCGGGGGTGCCTCGCCCTCGGGAAGTCGGCCTCCCCTGAGCAAGCCGTTTTTCAAGGTGTGGCCATTTGCGTTCGTTAGCTCGCACAGGGGATTATGGCATGAGCTTACAGTATGACACCTAAACGAGTTCTTCGTTCTGCTGCACGTAATACCCTGATGTGGCTAGAAGGCAGTTGGAGGTCTTTAATGCTTTTCCATAGCGAGATGTTTTTCCTTAGGAAACTGGACAGTCCAATTAAAATAGCTGTCTGGCCAGTGGGACGAACGAGTAGAAGGCCCAAAGTTAAATTCCTGCAATTCTGTGAATGGTGGCAGTTAAGAGATGAGAAACCGTAAGTTAGTACCTCTCAAAAAATGATAGTCGGCACTAAAAAGTCAACGGTTATCAGTTACGTTTTGTAGGCTGTCCTGTACAAGAGTTTAGCTCGGAAGCAACTCTAGTTAAACTTCCTTTTCTTCCTCAAGAAAGAGCTGAGGGAATCATGGAATAATTTGGGGAACACCCTGGGTAAACTGGAAGTATAGGCAGTGAGAGGGGGGACTGGGATAGACCTGTAGCGCTATGTAAAGGTGCCTGAGGAGACCCATGTAGGTGTACGTATCTAGTGAGGAAAGGAGGACACGGACTTTCTGCAGTATAGATTTGGCTAAATTAGTTCTGCTGCTTACAGAACAAATTTTCTGCTGCCAGAGAACACCTGGATCCTTATGGTAGCAAAATAATTACAATTTGGGCAGGTCTGAAAGCATTGCCTAAGTCCTTTAGAAGAAAGAAGGCTTTCTTTTGTGATTATTGGGAAAAAAAGCATGTTTGAGAACATGATGGCCTGTGATCCTACCCAGCCTGCAGACATTCACACATGAGTATTAAAGCATGTTGCCGTAGACTAATTTAGGATTACTTTCTGTGGCTACTATGAACGAAATCTGTTCCTTTAGTATCACGTGACAGGACGTAGGCTTCACTAATAATTTTAACTTTAAAATACTGAAGTCATGAAACTAAGGCTTCCAAACACATTTTATTTCTAAAGACTTACTAACATGAAGCTCAAAGTAGAATGTTTCTTACTATTAATGTATTCTACCTGCTTGCGCTTACTCCTTCCTCCCCCCCCATCCTGCTGTGGGCTCCGGAACAGCTTCTGTAATGGTTGGCCTCAGTGGGGCCGGCCGTGTCTTTTGTTGTGCAGTCGTTCTTGTTAGGGCTCATTAAGAATTCTTATTTCATGTTCAGTGAAACAGATGCACCTCTGATTCAGATCACAGCTTCTAAACAAGTTGCTTCTCGGTTATCCTGAATGGTTTCTGTCCTTCCCAAGCTTTGCATGAGGCAAGATCATCGTGAGTACGTACGCCTTTCCCTAGTATGCTGGGAAATGAGAAAGTAAAGCTGCTAGACTCTTTACAGCTAGAAAGCAATAGAGAAATCTAGGCTAGAAGTTTTCCCTTGGAAAGTCTGCCTAAAATTGAGGTTGGTCAAGCACTTTGATTATCATGCAAAGGGTCTAGGTTTAGGAATCAGAGGGAATTGATTATCCTTCTCTGGAGCAATGATCTCTCTTCAGAAGGTTGAGGGGAATTTACTGGCAGTAAGAAGATTTATGGAACCTCTGTAAATTTCCATGTAGTGTGAGGCAGGCTTATATAACGGCCGCTTCCTGCCAGTTTGCTTCTACATAAGAAATTCGAGGAGCAAAGCAGAGAAATCACTCGCAGTAAATGATCTTCCAAGGTATCATTTGTGCTACAGAGTGCTGTTGGACAACTCTCAGAAGCTATTGAGAAAAAAGAAAAGGCTAAAGAAGTGTTACTGCAATGCTAGGGTTGCTAAGAAGTACAGTTAAAGAAACTTGAAGTTTTAGTTGCAGATACCTGTGCTATTTGCTTTTCCTTTCTATAAATGTACTGTGCTGATTCCATTGCTGTTTTATTTACTGAGATATTTTGTCAGGACAGAATTCTTTTCATTCTCCAAACATTTAGTCTTTGGGCTGAACAAGCAAATTAGCAACATTCTAATTAACTGACAATAATTTGTGATTCCTCAAAAACAGAATTTGAGTTTTGGTAATTGATATGTAAGGAATTTATTTTGGAACTGTAGTTACTTAGGCCAAGTCCTTGCACTTCAACTTATAAAAGATCCTCATGGTTTCTATCTGTTGATAATTGTTTGCTTTCTCTCTCCCCTCTTTCTGGGGACTTGATTAATTTCTCCTGGCTTCATTAATTTCCTTTTATGCGGCTGTGAAACTGAAGTTAAATCCGTGGGTATGTATTTAAGGCGAGAGGGCTTTTCAGTTTTATTCAGATGTTCCAAGGTATTAACTGAAACCTCATTTGGACATAGATAAGCTTGATAATAGTTCTGGGCACCAGAAGATAAAGACAAGGTACAAAAGGAATAAACAGATATTGTTGCCTGTGACTCCCTTCCCTGCCAGCACAGAGCTGCCTCACCAGTCAGTGAGAACTGGGGGAGAAAGAGAAGAGTTCCCTCAGGTTTGCTTACCGGCTCTTGTCTGCGAGGTCAAATGAGTCAGTGGCTCAGTCTGGCAGGGAGAACTCAAATTTAACGCTCATCCCGTTTGAGGGGTCCTAGCAAAGATTTTCAGTTTTAACAGGAAAATGATGAGTTTGTCTCCCAGGATGTCTGGGTCCCCTGGCTTATCTTGATACGGTGGTTCTTCTGATCTTCGTTCCTGTCAGGCGACCAAAGACTCTGTGGCAAAATCTTAAAGAAAATAATGACTACGTGATTGAGGAGCCCTGACTCAAGAAAATCCAAGGTCTCTATTCAAAGTACTGCTTAATGCCACTTAACTCAGAGGAGATGCTGACTGCAGCTTGCTTTACTTGGTGCTTCATCCTCTTTTTGTTCAGAGCCTGAAAACAGAGAGCAGTTTGCACAGGCTTTCCACTCTGCTTTCCATGTTGTCCTGCAGCTGTGGGAGGAGGAGGAGGAGGACTTGGAAGAATCCCCCTGGCAGTGTGAGGCTAGCTGTTGGCACGGACACTGACTGAGGAGTGACATCCCTGTGTCACCCCTCCTTCGGGTGCCCAGGGCAGGAAGGAACAGTAGGAGGTAGAAGGGAACAGAGAAGCTAAGACAAAGGTTGGGGTCTGCAAGAGCTGTAAGGGGATCCCCCAGAGGGGAGGAGATGCAGAAGACAATAGAGGCAGTTAAGTGGCTTCACCCTCTTGGGTATGGTAATATGGTGGTTGCCATAGGAGCTGAATTTTTTTAGAGTAAGATTTATAGTACTTTTTCTACTGTGTGAATTTATTCCTAGATATTTTTAAAGCTTTTTTTTTTTTTTTAAAATCCCTTCATTAAAAAAATTTCCCTTATGCAAAAATGAAACAAAAGCAAATGTTGGTTCTTCAGATTGTCATTTAAAAAGCAAGTTTCCCTTGCTTATTTAGAGGGCCTGAACCGTTTGATTAGATTTCTATCATTGCATTGCTGTAAGTTGTTAGAAAGTGATGCAAGTACTTTCTGTTTTAGGAACAGCCATCTTGCATCACACCGTATCAAGGTTCAGAGCGACATTGCCTCAGGGCTGTCACAGCTGGGAAATGATGCTTTCTAAAAGTCACTCTAAATTTGTGTGAAAGTTACACTAATTCTATGCACATCGGTACCATCTTCTGTCAGCGATGTCATGTATATATGAAGAATAAATCACGCTCGTTCACCAATTTAAGCAGAATTTCCATTCTTCAAATGACTTCAAAGCACGCACATGGGAAGTGACTTGGCCAACATATAGTGGCTAATGTTGAAGGGGATTGAGGAAGTCTTATTTCTAAGCCTCTGCTTTAATTGCTAGGTTTTACATTACCTCTGTTCATTGCTGACATGATAAAAATGTAAATTAAAAAAACTCAAACCCTAGTTTTCAGTTTCTCTTATTTTCAGCTTCTTCCATCTATTCTGCAGTGTAGAGATCATTAGCTTGATATTTCCAGTCAACAGTTCTTAATACGAACTTATATGAATATGATTAATATAGCCTATATTATACAGATGTCCATTTTGTCTAAATCAGGATAGATGTAATTAAAAAATAACTTACCTGCAGCAGATTTCCTCTTTGGGGTTATCTGTTTTTATGCAGGCAGGAACTCATTTTCCTTCATTGCCTTGGCTTCTCGCTAAATGAATGGCATTTTAAAAATACTGGTTTAAGTCATTAATACATCCTCCATGTAAATCCATGGAGAGAGAGAGGAATGTCCTGCTTTATGTATGTCATCTGCCATCTTAGAAAAACCTTACACAAGTTCATGGTAGTTCTTATATTGTCTTACTTTTTAGTGCACATATCTGCTGAATCCTCAACTTGCTTAGAAATCTGCTTCTATTATGAAGATATGTTTTCCCGGTATTATATTATGAAATTTAATTACATTAAATACCAAAAGTATGTGCTTAGCCTGAATGTGTGGAAAAAGACATTATTATTATCAATCATGGCCTCTATTTTCATATGATTGAAGATATTACCTTGTAAAGGTTAATCTTTCTCTTTAAGGCATAAGTTAATTTGTGGTGTTTACACTAACTCCAAAATGTGTGTGTGGTTCCCCCCCCCGCCCCCTCCCGTTTTTGATTGAAGAAGAACAAGTTGTCTTATACAGAAATTTATCAGGAGTACCAAGCTCTGGTGAGTGTTATTCACTATTTGTGGTAGATTTCTAAGAAATATAATTTAAAATGTTAAAGTAGTATTTAGATGACTGTGTTATCATTGATATTGCCTGTTATAAATGTTGTTTAGAAATCCTTTGAGTCATAGTTGTCATATGCATTTTTGTGCTTAAACACCAGATACGTAGAAAAACTAACAGTCACATCTCTTATGCTGTCTTACATTTTTTTCATTAAAATTAATATATCTGCTAGCTAAAATGCTGTACTTAGAAGCTTGATAATGTTCGTATTTTCTGTCAAGTTAAAATGCCAAACAGCACGATGTCTGAGAACGTGTATAACTTGTATTTTGTTCACTAATAAGTCTGGTAAATCTTTTGAATTAACTTTCAATTATCAGAAAAAACTACAGGGGATTTTTGGAGCATGCTTAAAATACCTATAAACCAACGCATGCAGATTTCTAAATTTTTTTTTTTTTTTTTTTTGGTAACAAGGCTTGATAATACTTGATGTTAAAAAGCATCAACTGAATAAATACAGACCAACATCCATTTTTGCTCTGACCCTGAAGGGTTTCAGGCACACAGGCTGGCAAAAAGCCTTTTACCTACAGGGCCAAAAATGATGAGGAATACTACCCAGCAGTCTGGGGAAAAGGTAGAGAAGTGAGATTCTTGGAAATTGGAGAAGCTAAATTAAGAAGTAATCAAATTTGGCAATAAAAATGCTTATTTTGAACAGTTCATGAAAGTAAATAAAGCCTGACCCATCAGAAAAATCAGTTATACTACTGCAGTGCTTTTCCTTTGAGTTTAAAAAAATACAATGTCAGCAGAAAAGAACTTACAATTATGAAAAAATTTCATATGATTCTTAGGGAAAAACCTCTTAGAAAGTAAGGCTTATACTTTCTTACAGGTTGAAAAATTATTAGAAGACTATCTTAAAGAAGTTGGAATTAATGAAGAGAAATTTCAAGAAGCTTTTTCATCTCCTCTTGCAAAGACACACACTTCACAGGTAAGTTTTCCTTTGTTTAGGAATATGTAGATTTAATTTTTAGCTTTATCTTTTCACTAATATAGCAGGGTGGAGATGAAACCTTGAAAAGTTTTCTTGTTAGAACTGTAATTTTCTAAAACATAAGGTGTTTGTTTATATTGCGAACTTTGACCAGAAAAATGTGTGTCTTGAAAATAACGACAGATGTTTGTGTGGTGTCAGACACCTTTTGAGATTCATCTTCTATGCTTTGTATTTTCTAAAACAAACCTCTAAGCTTAGGGTGTTTCTGCCACCTTTATTTGCATATTTGTCAGCTTTATGTTGGTCTTCAGTCCGTTTACAATAGCAAACTTAAAGATTAAAACAATAGACATATTCCATAAAAGAAAAGATGTTTTCCTCTGATTTTATAATAAACCAGTAAAATCTGTAAGACAAACATTGGCCTTGAGAAGACAAGGCGTGGTTAGGCAGCCCTTCACCTGCTCAAAGATATCTTTCAGAATTGTCTCGGGTATATTGGGCAGAGCAGTGGGAGCTTCTGCTGCCAGTTTAAATTGGGCTTTGTTGACCTATCTCCTCCTAGATGTTCTTCAGAGTGCACATTCCTCACTCAAGCTTACGCATTTGTTCAGGAACTCGAATGAATTGCAGTTGCAAACTTACACTGGGAAACCCTCCAGGTTTTGTGATAGTATTATTGTGATAGACGTGTTGATCTAAAGGCATAAACCATCAAATTCTTTTCTTGATTACTAGCTCAACTTGTATGGCTGGAAAAATAGACAGGAGAATTAAATATAATTATTAAAAACATGCTCCACAGAATTTAAATCTTAATATGATTTCAAGCAGACCGAGATGGTAATGATTTCTCTAGGGTTTTTAATTTTGTGCATACCTTCCCTCCCACAGGCCATTTTGCAAACAGTGTTGGCAGCAGAAGATTTTAGACTATTTAAAAAAATGATGGTACAGAAAAATATTGAAATGCAATTGCAAGCTCTTAGAATCATTAAAGAAAGAAATGGTAAGAAGTGGTAAATGTGGGGTTTCACTTCTCTTCAGCTTTTTAGCGTTCTTTTGATGACTACGTAATCCATTCATAAATGAGTATCGAATACTGGTTCCGTTCCAGTTCAAGTTAATGGACATGTTGATAAAGGCATAAACCATCAAATTCTTTTCTTGATTACTAGCTCAACTTGTATGGCTGGAAAAAGACAGGAGAATTAAATATAATTATTAAAAACATGCTCCACAGAATTTAAATCTTAATATGATTTCAAGCAGACCGAGATGGTAATGATTTCTCTAGGGTTTTTAATTTTGTGCATACCTTCCCTCCCACAGGCCATTTTGCAAACAGTGTTGGCAGCAGAAGATTTTAGACTATTTAAAAAAATGATGGTACAGAAAAATATTGAAATGCAATTGCAAGCTCTTAGAAAACATGCTCCACAGAATTTAAATCTTAATATGATTTCAAGCAGACCGAGATGGTAATGATTTCTCTAGGGTTTTTAATTTTGTGCATACCTTCCCTCCCACAGGCCATTTTGCAAACAGTGTTGGCAGCAGAAGATTTTAGACTATTTAAAAAAATGATGGTACAGAAAAATATTGAAATGCAATTGCAAGCTCTTAGAATCATTAAAGAAAGAAATGGTAAGAAGTGGTAAATGTGGGGTTTCACTTCTCTTCAGCTTTTTAGCGTTCTTTTGATGACTACGTAATCCATTCATAAATGAGTATCGAATACTGGTTCCGTTCCAGTTCAAGTTAATGGAAAACATTCAGTTGATTTTACTGGGACTAGGATTTCAATACTTAGTCCTTGGCTTGTATTCTCAGTGACAGCTGTCTATATTCCTTTTTAAATTAACAGATCTTTCAGTTCTGTTTGTCTAAATTTTTCTGTGAAACTTGACTTGGTTTTTTGTTAAAGAATTTTGGTGATAATTTTGAGCGTTAAAGCAATTATATCAGTTCATCAACAATGACAATATTGATTGAATTATGCTACTTGCATAGCAATGATGCTGTACTATCTGCTGTGCTTACTTTGCCATTCACACTGTACAGTTACATATGAAAACTCCATATAGAAAGCAGAAGTTAGGGCCTTTATCACGCTAATACATGCGTGCTTTTAAAGAAGAGAGAATAATTTACACCCAACTTTGCTGCTCTCTTGATGTTTCTGAAAGGCTTTTCATCTACCCACTCCTTTCTTCCATGCCTTTAGTTTTATCATTTTGTTTTGCCTTCTTACTGCATGCATGTTTTTTCAGAGAATAATTTTTAAATTTCAAATTTCATATAACAGCTAAATTGGAAAATGGTTCAGTTAGCCATAGCTGAATTGCAGTCTATAGGAAATGCTGGTCAATGCAGGCTATGGCTTATGCTTTGCCCTTAGATGTCAACACTTTCATAGTTCAGAAACCTTTGCCTTTTTGCTACTAGCAACTTGATGCCCAGGATCTAGAATCTTTCTGTTAGCCATGGCTGAATTGCAGTCTATAGGAAATGCCATATAATGGTCAATGCAGGCTATGGCTTATGCTTTGCCCTTAGATGTCAACACTTTCATAGTTCAGAAACCTTTGCCTTTTTGCTACTAGCAACTTGATGCCCAGGATCTAGAATCTTTCTGGAGACAGTTACAGAGGGGAAGAATTAGATGGGTGTTTGGGGTTTTGTTTGTTTGTTTGTTTGTTTTTCCTCCTCTCTGCCTGAAGAATGATGCCAAATGGAGCACAAAATAATTTTCTTTAGAGTAATGCATAAATTTTGTCATGGTTTTTTATAGGTGTGTTGCCCGACTGTTTGACAGAGGGTTCTGATGTATTCAGTGAAATTGAACAAGAAGAAATGAAAATACTGAGGGAGGTTCTAAGGTAAAAAATGAATCAGTCCTACTTCGTACATTATTTTAAAATAAAGAATAAAGGTATGTAGGACCTAATTCTTCCAGCCTTTTCCAGGAAACTGCCTTCATCTTACAGATGACAGGAATGTTCTTGTCAAAATCCTACCTAAGAGAAAATGAATGGTGCTAGACAGTGGGTGCGATCAGGAATATTTAAAGACTGAGAGATAACTGCTCCGCCACGATGAACTGTCTTGGTGATGCATGGAATGATGTGGAACTTTAAGAGTCCCATCATTTCCATTCTCCCCTGAATCTCCAGGTAGACCTAAAGTTAGACCTGGGTTAGATGTCTCTGGTTAATAGGAGCACACTAGCTCTAATCCACTCAGGGAACACCCTAAACCTTAAAGCCTTGGAAAGGCAAATTCTGCTTTTGCAGTAGGCTTTATTCCTTTCTACAGCTTCCTCCTTAGTTGCGTTCAATGACTGTTGCTATGATCTAAGATGATGTGTGGGGACTGATACAACTTCTGTAGATACTCCTCCGCTCCCAGTTCACGTATATATAAACATAATCTTAAACAAATAATAGCAGATTAATCCATTCACGTTGTATTAAATTATGCTATTTTCCCTCTGTATTCTGGAAATACTTTCCTTCCTGTCTTTAAACGAGCAAATGAAACAAGGGATAGATAAGCCCTGGAAATTCTTACACGATTATTTTTGCACAGGAAAAAATAGATTGAGGACAGTGGGTTCTGTGTGTTTATCATAATTATTTATTTCTATTAAGAGTGCATTTTCATTTAAGTCATGGAAGTATTTTGGATACTAACAAATTCATATTATCTTGTAATGGTTTCGATAGCCCTCAAATATTTAAGCAATGCTAAATTTACCTAAAAGTCACTAATACTAAAGAAGTTTTGAGTATTTACTTGTGTTTTGTGCTACAGAAAATCTAAGGAAGAATATGAAATAGAGCAAGAAAGAAAGAGGACTGAAGAAGTGAGTATCTTACCTTTCCAGATGAGTTATGTTGATGATTAAGAAATACTCTGATATTCCTGTCCTGGGTGTCGACTGTATCACTTTAAGGCAATGTGTACCATCCTAAGCAAACAAAAGGTCTGTCAGGAAGGTCTTACTGACACTTCTTTTTGAAAGGTCTGTTCTGTTGTTTACGTTTTTCTTGATGGTATCATTGACGCTAGTGCTATACATGATACCATTAACCATCAGCCATCTGGTAGAGCTCATGCGATAAGCTCTTCAGTATCTGAATTCTAAAATCCTGGTAACGGATGTCAACCTTTCAAATCCAGAGAACATCTGAATTACTAATATTGTCAAGATCAAAGAGACTTCAAAGTATAAGCTTCTTAGAGATTACAGCATTCATAATCCTTCAGGAATTTTAAGGATCACTTCATAGACACTATAGTTATTCATTAAGTCTGCACAATACTGCCTGAACCTAATCACCAGGAACCAGAAATCCTCTCCAAGTTAGACCATCACTTGGTGTCTGTCCTGGTTCCGGCTGGGATAGAGTT